GGGGGAGAGGAGGGAAACCTGTCCTAGATTAAAAGGCAGTTAAGAGACCTAACAACCATATGCAATGTAGGAACCTAATTGGGTCTAGATTTAAACAAACCTGTTCTAAGAGAACAATTTTAGATAGGGGAATTCTATATAAAGTGAAGAATTAGGTGCAATTGGATAAAGACACAAGAAGGGCATCAGAATGTTTGCAATATATTTTTTAAAGGCCAGAAAGCCGCTGCAGACCTAAGAGCATTTCTAGAGCTCTTCCTGGCAGCGAGAAAGGGCAGGCAGTTGTCACAGTAGCCTGTGGCCTGAAGGAATGCTGAATGGGAGAGAACTGGCCTGAATGTTAGCTGACTAACATTCAGGTTTCTTTTCAGATCCTATGAATCTTTCAAGTCTTATTTATTTTATTTTTAAATCCTTACCCGAGGACATGGAGAGAGAGAGAGAGAGAAAGAGATACTTTAGAGACTTGCTTTCTGTACGTGCCTTCACTGGGGATCGAACCCGTAACCCAGATATGTGCCCAGACCAGGAATTGAACCAGCGACTCTTTGGTGCACAAGATGGTGCTAAACCAACTGACCCACTCCAGCGGGCTGAATTTTTGTTCTTATTTAGCAGCTCTGTTGAGAGATAATTCATACACCACATGCTGTTTGTAAATGTGACCCCTGAACCCAGGACTAATTGGTCTCCCTTACACTTGAATGTAAATATATGCTGGTTGTTATTAGTCATGTGGGCAGATATATTAAGGGGAAATGTCGAATTCATGAAACATAGTTTATAGTGGAACAATCTGGAGCTTAGGGATTGGCATTTTCATTTGAAATTACCAATCATGTGCCTTTGGGCAAACCTACCTTCTCAGGTCTGTTTCCCAGGCTGTAAAATGAGGTTGACTATGATCTCTGGAGTAACGGCCAGCTCCGTGATGCTCTGCAGGCACATGCACTGAACAAGCTGGAGGTTTATATTAAATGCATTTAATGACGTAAAGGTGGGAGACAGGGAAATGCAGGAAGGAAAGACAGAAAGACCACGGGTTTTGAGAAACTCCTCAGTCTGTGATCTCACTGGTCTTTTGTAAAGAAACCTTGGCTTTTAAATTTTCCAGACATAAGTGACTCTTCCAGGGCTGAGGCTGTTTGGGTCTGAGATGTGACCTCAGTGATGGAGAGTGTGGGAGTAATTTTACGCTTTCCATCGATTGATGCCTGAAGCCCCTGGGTGGGGAGGGGACATCTGTGTATATGAGATGAAATAGAATGTTGAGGTCTCCTTAATTCCACCCATGGCGGGTGGGGGTGCTGGGAAGAAGCCTTGGTGACAAGACTGTCTTCCCTAAGTGGAAGAATTGGAAAGGTCAGGTCAATACAAATTCCTCATTTTGTAAGTTTTATAAATGAGGAAACAGATCTAGCAAGGTTATGTGATGTAGGACAATTTGTGTTTGAGCAAGGCTAAGAATTAGGCTCGCGATGGAGTGAAAGGGCCCTTAAATGTGAGGCTAAGGAACATGCCATTCATTGTGGTATTCTCCAGCTCCTAGTCCAGTGCGTGACACATAGTAGGTGCTTCATAAGCAATGGTCACGACTGACCTATTGACCGCCTTTCTGAATGAATGTATGTTTCTCTACCCTGTGTTCTCTGTTTACCAGCTGGACCTAGACACAGTTTATTTAAAGCAGAGAACTACTTTACTGGAGGTATCAGGACATTTTCTCTGCTCTCTGAGAGACACTTTTTTTTTAAAATTGAGCAACACTTCTTTCTCTGAGTATTGCTTCCTCTTTGTTGATATTAACAGAATAAATATCACAGCCCTTACAGGATGTGTGGTGTAGCGTGACAGAGAACTGGGGTTTCCTTTGATGTCACTGTAGACTTGGCAGCGTTAATAGAGGAGTGATCAGTAGTCAGACGCATTGGTGTGCTGGGCTGGCACACTCTGGGAAGTGGTCAGCGCTCCTGGACTGTGGAGTAGAGACTTAGTTGCAGGACGTACCCAGTTCAATTGGAGAATTAAAACGGCAGCTCAACGGAGCCATCCTTGGACTTTTCTTTTAACCCATGTTTTCACATCTTTCCTTCAACTGTGTCCTTCTGTGGCTGCTACTACTTACAAGTAAGTCTGGGCAGGACTTCTGCAATGGGATAGTGCAAGGTAAAGATACAAGGATGGCCTTCGTAATGTTCGCAATAGGGAAAGTTTGGAAGCCACCTAAATATTAAGGAAGAGGCAAGTGGACAACATAAATAAACTGTGATATATCTAAGATGCAAACAGTGAAGCTGACTAAACAGAATGATATGAAAGGTCTCTAATGCGTAATGTTAATTGGAAAAAAAAGGAAAGGAACAATGCGTATAGTAGGCTTTTTGTCTATTAATGTTGCGGGGCGTGGGAATACATGGATGCTTCTTAATGTATATAGACTTTGGCAAGGGAAGCTGGGAAATGGGAAAGAACAGAGACTAGACTTTCCATACTCATTTGTTCTGCTTCACTGCTTTACAGTGTATGTTTATTTTTTTTAAAAGCAATTAATTTTAAACCTAAAAACAGCCATATATTAGCCTCTTATTCAGGCAAATATTTTTATTCATTAAGTGCCTGGTGCTTTAAAAAAAAAAAAAAAAAGAGCCCTAGCCGGTTTGCCTCGGTGGTTAGAGTGTTGCCCCGCAGACTGAAGGGTCCTGGGTTCAATTAGGGCCAAGGGCACATACTGCAGTTGCAGGCTCGATCCCCAGCCCTGGTTGGGGTGCATGCAGGAGGCAATGAATCAATGTGTCTCTCTCATATCAATGTTTCTCTCTCGTTCTCTCCCTTCCACTCTCTCTGAAAAGCAATGGAAAAAATATCCTTGGGTGAAGATTAAAAAAAGAAAGAGAGAATTGTGTTAGGATACCTGTCCTTTGTTGATGAAGACAACTAGCCCAATGACTGAGATGTTTTCCTGGCTGACAATGAATGATTTATTTTTAAATAAATCATATATCTTTATTGGTTTCAGAGAGGCAGGGAGAGGGAGAGAGAGAGAGAAACATCAATGATGAGAGAACCATTAATCGACTGCCTCCTGCACACCCTTGACTGGGGATCAAGTCTGCAACCCAGGCATGTGACCCAACCAGGAATCGAACCACGATCTCCTGGATCCTAGGTCTGTGCTCAACCTCTGAGCCATGCCGGCAGGGTGAATGATTCATTTTCTGACTATTTCCATCAGCCCTGCCCTCTATTGCTCACAGGGCTGGGCTACCCAGAGCACTGGTTCTCAAAGTGAGGTTTGAGGAACAGCCACATCAGCATTTCCAGGGAACCTGTTAGAAATACAAATTTTTATGCCCCACCCCAGACGTAGTAAGTCAGTAGTTCTAGTAAATGAGCCCACTCATCTGTGTTTTAACCAGACTTCCCAGGGACTCAGATGCCCCTCAGGTCTGAGAGTCGTTGCCCTGGTGGACCCTCCTCCGCACAGAATAGCAGCAGTGGTTTCTTCTTTACAAGGCATTGCTTGCACTTCTGAAGGGGACCAGCCTCACTCACTGCCTGCATCTCGCTCTCCTTTTCTCTTGATTCAGGGTCTTCGGAAGGGTCATACATAGCCCACGTGGGTCAGAATGCTTACCTGCCCTGCCACTACAATCCAACCTCCTCTGAGAATCTCGTGCCTGTGTGTTGGGGCAGGGGACCCTGTCCTACATTTGAATGTAAGGAACTGGTGCTCAGAACTGATGGAAGGGCCTTGACATACCAGATATCCAGCAGATACCAACTAAAGGGGAATGTCCGCAAAGGAGATGTGTCCTTGACCATAGAGAATGTGACTTTAGCTGACAGTGGGACCTATTGCTGCCGCGTCCAATTCCCAGGCCCAATGAATGATAAAAAATTAGACCTGATGTTGGACATCAAACCAGGTGAGTGGACCTTTACATGTGTCTTTATGAATAATCACCTGCAGATCACATTAAATAAACTAATTGTTCTCACTTTGTCTTCCCCAGTGACAGCCCTAGTGGTGGGCCCCTGAGACCCACAGGTCCACACGTAGTGCCCAGTCGTGTTTAATTCCTCCATCTATATTGAAATGTATGGGCAGGATCTATAAATTGGAAGGAAAGACCTAGATCAGTGGTTGGGACCCTCACTGCTCATTAGATTTACATGGGGAGCATTTTAATAACTATAGATGCTTGAGCCCTACCCACAAACCAGAGAAACCAGCATCTCTGGAGGTAGTAGAGCCTGTGCACTGGGATTTTACGAAGTCTTCCCTATGTGATTTTCCCCTCATGCAGCCAGGACTGAGACCCATTGGACTGTACATGTGAATGGGGATGCATGTACTTGTATGTTTTGAGATTTATAGAGCATGTACTTGTGGCTCATGGAGCTGAGTTCAACTCCAGCTCTGCCTCTTACTAGCTGTGTAATGTTGGACAAGTTACTTAAACTGTGTGACCTCTTCTCTATCAAATGTGATAATACCTACCATGGAGGCCACTGGAAGGATTTTAGGAGATGTTTTATGAAAAGCATTTAGCGTGTGGCTATTAGTTGTATTTTAACAATTAGACAGTGACGACAATGATGACTGTAACACAGTTTTTAAAATGTGTAAGGAACATTTTAAATGTGTGATATACTCTCAAGGAAGGTGTCCGGGGTTGAAGGTTGAACATGTGTTTCTGTTGATTTGTTGCCTTCTCTGCTCTCCGAGAAGCCTCGTCCTTACATTGTTTCTGACATTAGCCAAGGTCACCCCTGTTTGGCCGCCATGGAGAGCCTCCACTACAGCCTTTCCAAGGATGTTCACCACCCGGGAACATGGCTCAGGTAATGACACATGGGGATGTAGGAGGAAGCCTTTAGGTGGTTTCTGAGTTCAGAGGATTTTGAGTGTGGGGGGAAATGAGGAAATAGTTTAAGAACTGACGTATGAATGTTTCTGTGCACAGGAGATAGTATTTCAGGTGAGGGAGGTGGTAGACATAAACCTGTGCTGGAAAAAGTGATCTTGGGCCTAGGATCTAGATTACAGTAATCACAACCTAGCCCAGGGCCAGTGCCTTTCACTTGTTTGGATCTCAGCTTTCTCTTCAGTCCAGAGAATTTTGGATTTCATGACCCAGTGAAATTCCTGATCCACACCTGAAAGAATTTTGATCTACATATTTTGCCAAGTAAGGAAAGTAAAATTTCTATCTAATATTGCCATTACTACAAAAAAACGACAGTCTTTTAAATGAATTAAATTTAATTAATGAAAACTTTTTACATTGTACTATTATTTTGTGACTTATTCCTGGACTGGTGACATTTTATCTTGACTTGGCCCCAGTCCATGTTTGGAGATGGATTAGGTGATTTCCTGGACCTCTTCTAACTGGAATATAGCCCAGTATCTTCCTCAGATTTTTTTTTTTTTAATATATCTTTATTGGTTTCAGAGAGAGGAAGGGAGAAGGAGAGAGAAACATCAATGATGTGTCATCATTGATCAGCTGCCTCCTGCACGCCCCCCGACTGGAGATTGAACCCACAACCCAGGCATGTGCTCTGACTGGGAATCGAACTGCGATCTCCTGGAACCTAAGTCAATGCTCAACTGCTGAGCCACGCCCGGCTGGGCCAGATTTTGATCTCAGTAAAAGCAGCTGAATTCTTTAAGTAATTCAACAAGGCCTTGTCCATGCTGCTCTGGAAGAGAAGGTAGGGTCAGAAAAGCAGATTTCTGGTCACATTGATCAGAAAGGTTAATCTTAAATATTTTCTCTCAGAGACCTGGTCTCTCCTAAGCTCTGGAGTTCAGTTCTTTGTTCCGTAAAATGAAGTTAAAAATAGGTACATCCCATTTCCTAATGTGATAAATCTCATGAGTTTCATTTTATGAGATTTAAGTAAGAAATGTGACTAAAGTGCTTAGCCAGTGTCTGATCATAGTATATACTCCATATATGTTAGTTATTGTTAACATTACCAGTAGGAACCAGAGACAGACTGAGATTGTCGATAAGTGCTTCAGTGATAGGTAGAATTGTAGGCGGCAGGAAGGGCACCCGGTGTTAGACTGGTGGGGTTGCACTAGACCTGAGTTCAGCAACCTTGGTACTTGAATTCTGGCTAGGATAGAATTCAGAGCCAAGACTCCACCTGTAAGAGAACATTTATTTGGTTAATCACAGAGGTAGAAAAAGTAATTTGTAGAAGAAATGGGCTGAGGATACAAGTTATAGACGTAAAGGAAGGGCCCTCGGAGCTTGGGAGTAAGGGAGATAATGGTAATTCGCCTGGGGGGAAGGGGAAGGGAAAGAGAAAGGTGAGGGCATGCTCCCAGGAGGGAGTGCCCTGGGTCCTCCATCCTAACGGGGTTTTAAGGGTGGAGATTTTAGGGGAGGTCTCAGGGGAAGATGTCAATAGAATACTCAGCAGATTTCCAGGCGTGTCCTTTCAGGGTTGTGATCTCCACTAAGATTGGTCGGAGCCAGGGTCCTGGGCCTAGAGCTGAAATACATCTGAGTCCTAGATGTTATCTCTAGGGAGGAAAGGTCAGGGGGTTCAAACCACAGGACCAGCCAACCATATGGTAAGGGAGGAGAGGCCACCCTGGGGCAAGGTCCCACCCTACAATTGTCCACTGCTAGGCACCTGGGGCTTTCCACCCTGATGACCTATACCTGGCCCATCGCCCTTGCTCTGCTGATGTCTAACTGCCTAGCATGGAATGGATTCTAATGTCAGCTCTTCATACTAGATTTGTGAACTCAGTCAAGTTGCTCAAACTCTGTGAGGCTCAATCTCCTCACCTCTCCAGTGCCTACTTCATAGGATTGTTGTAAAGATTGAATGTGATAGTGTATGTAAAGATCTCAGCATAGTACCTGGCCCATAGAAAGCATTCAAAATTAGTTATTATTATAATTATTAACTTTAGCTCTCTAAAGTCTTAATCTTTGGTGGTCCTTTAGTGATTGTTAGCCACCATTGCTTATGCAGTTAGTGAGGAAATGAAATATGGTGGGAAGAGATGATCACGTTGTGGGCTAATCAAGTAATACAAGATATTTATTGTATGCTATTATTAAATTTTTTAAAATCCTATAACCATAGACCTAGAAGGGACTTCAGTGGCCATTTCATCCCACCATCTATCCTGTACTCCAGTGTTCTCTATAACATCACCACCAAGTAGGCATTCGCTGAATGCACAGTTCACTTCTTCATGAGGAAGTGCATTTCCTTAGAGTTGCCTGTACCATAAACAGAAGTCTTCTTCCTTTAAGTTTCACTTGTTTGTTCCTTCCCTCTAGGCAACAAAAATAGGGCCATCTCTTGCAGCAGGGAATATAGGCACAGTACCTATAATCTCTGAGCTTTTCAAATACCTAAGAAAATATTTAAACAAACAAAAAAAGGCAATGCCTTCAAAGTAGGAAAATAAAACAAAAAATTCAAAGTAATGATATTTAATTGCATATCTATAATAGGTTAATGATGTCAGTTAGTTACCCTCAAGTCAACTCATATGTAGTTATATATACTTTTTCCTTAACGTGGAATGTGGGTCCATTCAGAATGTTTGCTGTAAAGTGGAGTGGAGCCTTAATAAGAGTTCCAAGGATCCCGGAAGCTCCTGAATCCACCTTGAATACAGATCAAATGCAATCTCTCTTCTACCTGATGAGGGTAGGATTGGGTAGTCGGTAAGTCCTCAGCTCTGGAGGACTTTGAACCTCAGGTTTGCTTTGTTTCCCAAAGCTGACCGTCTTTAGGACATGATCTACAAGGTCCGGGCCCTTGCCGCTCTTGTTCACTGTTCTGTCCCCTGTGCCTGACAGAGCAGATGTGTAGTTCATGTTTGTCAAGTGGGTATTTAAACAAAAAGGAAGGAAGATGAGCTGGCAGCTGGGCTATGTGACACACTTAATAGCAGTGACAATGTCGATGTGAAACTTGTTGAAGGCAGCAGAGTTAAAAGTGTATACTTGTATTTACAGTAGCCCAGATATGGGAGCAACCTAGGTGTTCATTGACAGAGGAATGAATGAAGAAGGTTAGGATAGCTAATTTGAATGCCAAATGAGATACTTCAAGAGTTTAGCACAGTACCTGCTCATGGTAAATTGTAGCTATAGTTATTTTAATTTTCATTTTCAGGCAACCAAATACCCTGTCTCTCCCTTATTGAGAAAATGCTAAACTTTTTCAAGAAAATTAACTTTTGTTATCTGTTGAAGTCTAATTACAACATAATGCCTGTCTAAGTGTTATACTGATAATTGTTGGAATTTTGCACACCCCTTTAGGGCCCAGTGGACACCACAAACTACGATTCAGCATAGGCCTTCTGGCAGAAATCTCCATTTCACAGGACATAAGTAGCTGGGTTCATTACATGGGTAAAAAAATCCTAAAGTTGTTTTGTAAGTGCTCAGTACATTTTGTTGGCCTCCCAATTAATTATTGTGCAGAGTATGGAGAGGATTAATTTCAACCAGGATTATAGACATCTTTAAGATTTTTAAAAACTCATTCAGATAAAGAAAATATTTTTAACTCGTCTAATGGTTATTCTTCCTCCTTGCAGCAGAGACACAGACTCTGGAGACCCCCAACGATAAAAATCAAACTGTAAGTAACTTGTGTGTGTGAGAGTTAACATTGAGTTTAACCCAGAGGAAAGACAGTATGGCCTTAGCCTTCCTTCCTGTCCACACTTTCCTTGGGGAAAATGCCCAGTCTTCCTCAGTTTCAGATCCTTGGCCGTAACGTGTTGGTGATAATGGTTCTGACTATTGGCACTTGGGCCTGGTGCAAGCATGGAATGCAGTGATGCATGCGAAGTGCCCAGCTCACAGGAAAAGCTGGAAAGCCAAAAGGAGGAAGCATTAGCATTCTGTCCCTCTTCTCAAAGTTCACGGCTGTACACTGCTGTGGACAGTTCTAAGGCCCTCCATCTCCCTAGAACATGTTTTTCTTGCTTCCATTGCAATCCAATTGAAAAAAGATTATTTTTTGTTTAAATTTGTTTATTTATGTATGACAAGAGACCAGTCAGAAATATTCTAAGCCGGGAATTTATATATGTAACTAGAATAAAGCAGTATTACAATTAACAATGATTTTAGTGTCCCCCGCCTTCTTAGTGTAAAAGGGAAATCCTCTAGAAAGCAAACTTAGAGCAATGTAAAAATTCTTCCAGGACTTAGCTAGGGGTCCTCATTCATTTGTCTCAATCTCTTACTTGTGTGTTCACCACTGAGGCTCAGCATTTTGTATTTGTCCCTCCCCTCTTTGTGATCAAGGACTGCCTTCAAGTACCTCTCTGCACCCATAATGCTTGATGCATAATACCTTGTATACAGCTCTCCAGCAGTAAATGCTTATTGAATAAATGGAAATTTTAATTTCCTCGACTTCTTTATATTTTAAAGTGTTCACTAATGTTGGTTTTAAAGGGGGACATGGACTGAAATTTTAGAAGGGGAGGATTTTCTGTGTGACTCTGTTATCAAAAAATCAAGTTAATGACAGCATTAGCAATAGCTATTATTATTATTTTTAATCCTCAACTGAGGATATTTTTTCCATTGCTTTTCAGAGAGAGTTGGGAGAGAGAGAGAAACATCGATGTGAGAGAGACACACTGATTGGTTGCCTCCCAAATGTGCCCCCAACTGGGGCTGGGGATGGAGCCTGTAACCAAGGTATGTGTCCTTGGCTGGGAGTCAACCTGGGACTCTTCAGTCCAAGGTCTGATGCTCTAACCACTGAGCCAAACCAGCTAGGGCAGCAATAGCTATTATTAAGCATTTATCATGTATCAGGCCCAATGCCAAGCATTTTATATTTTTTGTCACTTAATTTTACCAATAACTCTACAAGATGGCTCAGCTCTTGGTGACAGAGCTTGGATTTGAACCCAGGACTGCCTGGCTTTTAAGTCATAGTATTTTTGTGAAAATTGCAGTTTCACTGCAAGATACCACATTTAGACCACTCTGAAACTTTATGGGAACACAAGGGGATCTTGAATGAAGAGGACTCTACTCTCAAGCCCATTTTTTTTTGTTGGAGAGGCGGGTCCATTTACTAAGAGTTCCTCTTACACAGCACAGGAGGGCAAATTTTATTCCCCTATGAGCTCCAAAGATTAAACTACTCCTTTTCTTTGGGTGTTTTTAGGCTTGTCTAGAAGGCAACAGCTCTAGGATGGTTTCAAGGTTTCTGTACTCCTGTGATTCTGTAAAAGGGATGGTCCAGTGCACAAGTAATGAAAATGACTGAGCATACAACCAATTTCTGGCCACATGTTGAAATTCTGTTTGTGTTTCCATAGCAAATATCCACACTGGCTGATGAGTTAAAAGACTCTGGTGCGACCACCAGGATAAGCATCTACATTGGAGCAGGGATCTCTGCTGGGCTGGCTCTGGTTCTTATCTCTGGAGCTTTAATTCTCAAATGTAAGTCATTTGATGTTGTATGTCTTTCCCTCTGGTAAGGAACCGCTAAATAGGAACCAACATAAACCTAGATAGAAATATAAGTTTATACTCATACCTAAAGATGATTAGACTAAATCCCTTTAGTCTTTCCAAACCATTAGCTATTCCATTAGCTATTAGCAAAATAATAGCTAACCTATATTCAACGGTTACCATGTAACAGGCAGGCATTGTGCTAAATGTTTTACATACCTTTCATCATAATCTCATTTTATAAGGTAGGTAGGATTGTTATTCCCATTTTACAGCAGAGAAGAGTAGAGCTTAGAGAGAGTGAGCCACTTTCCCAAGATTTCACAATCAGTAAGTGGCAAAGCTGGAGTTCAAATTCAGGCAAGCTGATTCCAGGACCTTTCTTTTATCTTTTGTTAAGAAAATTAAACTTTTTAATTCATGAATATGTCTAGGTTTATTAGGAAGCACAACAATGAAAATCCGTCCCTTCTATGAGTTTTTCTTCTTTATTTCCCAGGCCTATAGATCTTTAGGGTGAGGTATCAGGTCCTGTTAATACTGGGTCATGGCCAGGACTGCAGAGTAGTGTTTTCCTCTACCATGGCACTCAGCACACACATTTTTCTCTAAGTTACTTATCTTTATTTAGAAAAATGTTATTAAAGGATGATTTATATACAATAAATCTCGTATTTAAAGTGTATTCAACTTGGTGAATTTCAGTGGGAAACTATGACCATGTTCAAGACCCAAACACTTCCATCAGCCCCAAAGGCTCACACACTTGTACGTTTGTGATACATTCTCTGCTCTTTGACGGCAGAGGCCAAGGTCTTATACCACAGGGCTTAGTGCGTTCTAGAAGCCTTTCTTACTAATACACAAACATGGACTGTGTGTAGGGTGACCAACCTCCCAGATTTGTCCAGGACTTAAGGGAGTTCCTAAGATGTGGCTCTTTCAGTGCTAAAACAGGGACAGTCCAGAGAAAACTAGGATGAATTCATCACCCTAAGTGTGTGGCTAGAAGCTGTCAAGTGCTTTATGTGCGTTAAACCCTTACAACTCCTCTACTGAGAAAGGTACTAATATTATTCTAATTCACCAGGTGGAGAACCAGCGTTCTGAAAGCTTATGTAGCATACTCCAAGTCACACAGTTAATTGCTAGGTACGGGATTTGAAACCAGGGCTCTCCCACTCCTCACTATTTTGTTATTCTGCCATTATTGCTAAATGAAATGTGGAGAGAAAAAACCAAATCCACCTACACTTACCAGAGTTTATCAAAGGTAGCAGCGGAGTTTGTGAATTGATCACATGAATATGAAGTCTATGGGTTAAGAAGCAATGATAACACTACCTTTTTGAGTTCTGCCAAGGCCTGGATGTTAGGGCCTGTTCTAGCATGTGTAAAGGGGTTTGAAGGGAGGGTAACGAGGGTGGGAAGCCTGATGTTTTGTACTCGCACATACACACACACAGAGGGGTGGGCAAAAGTAGGGTTACAGTTGTTCGTATGGAAAAACATATAATACAAGCATATATAATAATACAAGAATAAACTCTGTGTTTTGTGCACTCAAAATGTAAACCTATTTTTGCCCACACCTGTGTATATCACCAAAATCATAGCTACTTAGAAGAAAGATGGGGAAGTCCTGTCTGATTTGCAATATCTTCCCTAGCAGTTGCTCAAGAAAATCTTACAACCAAGGTGGCAGGTTTGGAAATCATGACATCAAAGCCAAGTATAGGCACCCAGTAATGCCCAGCAATCCTATACCTTTCTAGCGCACTCTCTGAGGTGAATATCCAGCCTCCCTGTCCTTCAAACCTCCCTTATTTCTCACTCAATTGATGAAGTATAAAAGGCCTGTTCCATCCGCTTTGCCTTAGCCAAGACTTCATTCCTCCTTTCTGCCCGTTTTCTAGAATTGTCTCACGCTTTCCATTTATGCTATTTTCATTAATATAAAATCATGTTCTGGTTTACACATTCTCTCCAGCTACCCCCATTTCTCCCTCCCAGCCGTATTCTCAGAGGGGCTGTTCCTACTTCTCTCGCCCCTGCCCTTGTCAACCCACCATCCAGCTTCTGCCCCCAGAGCACCATGGAAATGGGCCAGTCAGGCCCACCAATGACCTCCCTTTTGCTAAATGCAATGGATGCCTCTGTCTTCAATGTAGTCAGTCTTTCAGCAATATTCAAGCTGACTCTCATTCAAAGAGGCTTCCTTCTCTTGGCTTCTGAAACACCACTCTCCTACTTCATTGGCCATTCCTTTTAGCTTTTTTATTTCCTCTTCGGCATGACTTATAGATGTTGAGATCCCTCAGGGCTGGCAATTTCCCTCTCTCTACAGCTCTACGTGAAGACCTGTGTTTCCAGAGACTTAAATGTCACCCTTAGTATCTCTCTCCAACTCTCAGAGTGTTTGTCCAATGGATACTTCCACTTAGATGTCCCCCACATCTAACACGTCCAGTGAAACTCTACAGTCTGTATTGTACCTTCCCAGAGTGCAATCTCCCTCCCGAGTCCCTCCCATCATTGGGTTACGCTGCCATCCATCTGGTTTCTTAAGCCAGAAAGCCAGAAGCCGTCTTTGAATCTTCTCTTTCCTCACTCCTACTACACAATCCAAGTGCAGTTCCTGAATCTCTCTCCAAAATCTATCTAAAATCCATTCACTAATCTGCGTAACCCTTGCTACCACCTTGCTCTGAGGCACCATCATCTCTACTCACCTCCTCACTTTTTTATACCCCCTTTTAATCTGACTTTCTCATAGCAGCCTAAGTGATCTTCTTAAGCCCAATCACACCATATTTTGCACTTTGTTACTTCTTACAGGTCTCAGAATAAAATTTAAACCCTTGATTGTGACTTAGAAGGTCCTAATGGACCTAGCTCTAGTCTACCTCTCAGACCTTATGTTGGGTTGCTCTCTTATTCCGACCATATTTGCAGTTTCAGGCCTCACCTTCCTCTTTATCAGGGGCTTTCTCTGCCTGGAATGCTCCTTCTGGCTCCTTCCTGACTTCTTTCAGAGTTGACCTTAAAGGTCATCTTTTCTGAGAGCGCTTTCCTGACCACCATTTCTGTTGCTAGTTTTAGTACATTGTTGATTTCCTTTATATCACATTACAACGAGAAATCATTGTTATTACTATTTTAAATTATTTTGTTATTTATTTTTGTAAAATGGCTCCCTTAGTAGAGCACAAGCTTCACAAAGTCAGGGCTCATAATTCACCTTTGTGTCCTTGGTGCTTAGCATACCACCCACTGTACACATAGTAGGTGTTCTACATATTTGTTAAATATGAAAATGCTTTTTTATTATTTCCTAGCATAGTTCGTGTAATAAACCAAGGAACATGTGGGTAGTTGGATTTCATTCAATCTAAGGGGAGACCAGATTTCCTATAAAAATCTTCACCTTCAGTGAGCCCATTTTATTTATTTATGAAAGCAATTTTAATGGACTTTTCTTCCCTTTTTATACCTAGGGCATTCTCATAGGAAAGAGAAGTTACAGAATTCAAGGTAAGAATAAGGGGTGGTGTAGGGGAAAGCGGGAATCTTGGAGGTTCCTACACTAATATGGCTTTGATCTTTGCTCTTGGAAGTCCTGCCCTGGGACTTTGGGATCTAATCTTATACTTCTTTGTTGCTTAAGGCCTAGATTAATGAAATGCAAACATGCTGCTCATTTACTTCCTGATCCCTCTAGTCTCCTTAGTCTTAAAGTTAAGGTATAGAATTTATCTCCCCATGATAGGAAGTGCTTATTTATTTCTATGTTAATGAGACTTTTCAGTCAGCTGACCCTTCAGCTGATTGAGCATTTACTACATCCAGTCTCTATTCTGGGCTCTGGGTTCCAGAAGCGAACAAGAAACCCAGCATCTGCTCTCAGGGCTTGTATAGCCCAGCCCAGGTGTTCTTTACTCTGGTGACCTATTAGAATCGCTTACACAGCCTGTTGTCAACCCCAGAGCAAATAAATGAGAATCTTTAGGGGTGAGGCCTAAGCATAGGTGTTTTTTTAAAGCTTCCCAAGTGATACTAAGGTGCAAATAGGGTTGAGAACTACTGGTCCTTTTATTTCAGTCTTAGTCTCCATTCCTGACTATATGCACATACATCTGTACACACACATGCATACACCCCAAAGCCAAATACATATAACTCCAATAACTTTTACTGCATTTTAGCAGCATTTGATGCATTGGTAGAATGCAGTATATTTCAAGAAAAAATGACTCTGTCCATTGAATACTACCTAAACCGTAATAATTTTAGACTAAGTAGAGACAGTAGACCCATGAAGACAAAATAGTCTGCTGTAAGTAGTCAGAAGTCAAAAAAGGTCAAGCTACATATTTATCAATGGTTTTAGATTACCTGTCACTATGCTTTCTTAGAGCTGTAACCTGGAATGTGATAACAGTCAGAGGTGACATTTACATGCATTAATTCATTATTTGTGACATCATTTGGTTAATGCTCATCTCTTCCTGTAATGCTAAGCTCCATAGAAAATAAGGAACTCGACTGCCACATTAACAACTGTATCCTCTAGCACAGCACCTGACACTTAGTAGGCACTTAATAAATATCTGATTATTGAATGAATAAATGCTCCTTCTCGCAGCCTGGTGAGATAGAGCGCTAATTATTCCAATTTTACAGATGAGGATCGTGAGACACAAAGTTGACTACTGTGTAGCCTTCATGGGATTTGTGTGCTATACTCACTGCTGTGTCTCTCGCTGCACAGAGCCGTGTGCAGCACACAACACTGCCTGAGAAATGGATAGAAAACTAAACCCAGCTCACCCAGGATTGTATGTCCGGTTAGTGACAGAGTCAGAACTCAAACTCAAATCTATTGGATACATAGCATCTTCATTTCTTTTTTGTTTTTTGAAACTGTTCCAGCCCCCAGAAGAACTGAAATAATATTTTAAGCAACAATAGAATCCTTCACCAAGATGTGTAATTTAACATTTTCATATGTTTGCTGTAATTATATATGCATACAGTTTTTAATTTTGGAAGAATTTTGAGGATGTTTCAGACATCTTGACACATCCCTGGACTTTGGTCTGTACCTCCTGAGGATAAGTGTTCCCTTAGATCGCACAATGCCATTTTTATACCTAAGAAAATTAAGNGGAACAATAGAATCCTTCACCAAGATGTGTAATTTAACTTTTTCATATGTTTGCTGTAATTATATATACACACAGTTTTTAATTTTGGAAGCATTTTGAGGATGTTTCAGACATCTTGACACGTCCCTGGACTTTGGTCTGTACCCCCCTGAGGATAAGAGTGTTCCCTTAGATCGCACAATGCCATTTTTATACCTAAGAAAATTAAGAGTAATTCCAATAGTCCTAATGTTCCTCACATTATTCTATTCCATGTCTTTCCCCCTAGTCAGGACCCAGTCAAGCATCACGTGAGTACTGCATTTGGTCTGTGCCTCTTCAGCAAGGCCTGTTCTCTTTTTTCCGCGTCTCCTGGGAAATGCTTACCTCAACTGCAACATTTTATTTCCACAGCCTCATCACTTTGGCCAACCTCCCTCCGTCAGGGTTAGAAAATACTGTGGCAGGGGGGATGCGCTCCAAGGAAAACATCTATACAATTGAGGAGAACGCATATGAAGTGGAGGACCCCTCTGAGTATTACTGCTACGTCAGCAGTGATCAGCAACCCTGACCGCCTCTGACTTGTCATCCTTCGGTGCCATCAGATGCAGCTTCATTTCTGAGCTCGTGTTGTCGTCTTTGAAAACTATCAGATGTGTCAGCTGGTTGCCTTTAAGGTTCTGCCCACCGCTCCCCGGCAGTCTCTTCCCATTTTCTGAAGATAGCAGCTCACGTGAGGACTGAACCTGCCCAGCACAGACTCGCTACAGCCTTACCTCTGCATCCCAGCCAACAGGCCCCTCGGCTCGGAGACTGCTAACCGGGCATTAGCATGGAAGTGAGCTCCTATGTCCGTAGGAATTCTGAATACGGGGTCTCCTGAATTCCAGGAATTTCAGTCCCGTGATGGATCCACGAAGCTTCTGACACAAGGAAATTTCATGCTGAGATATGTGCATGTCTTGTTTGGTACAGAAAGTCAAAAGGGGCCACTGATTTTCAGNGTTCTCAGTGTTCCTCACATTATTCTATTGTATAAGATGACGGTCCAACCAACTGAGCCCCACTGGCCAGGGCCCAGCTTCATTTCTGAGCTCGTGTTGTGGTCTTTGAAAACTACCAGATGTGTCAGCTGGTTGCCTTTAAGGTTCTGCCCATGGCTCCCAAACATTCTCTTCCCATATTCTGAAGATAACTTGAACCCCGTGACGGGTCCACGAAGCTCCTGACACGGGGAAGTTTCGCACTGAGATATGTGCATGTCTTGTTTGGTACAGAAAGTCGAACGGGGCCACTGATTTTCAGAGAGCTGGGGCTCATAAAGGGTTAAGGAGTTGCTGGAGTGGGCGAGATGGTCTTGGAGGTTTCCTTTGAGTCTCCAGGTTTCTGCCTCTTTNGAGAGCAGGGGCTCATAAAGGGTTAAGGAATTGCTGGAGTGGGTGAGATGGTCTTGGNTGTGCATGTCTTGTTTGGTACAGAAAGTCGAACGGGGCCACTGATTTTCAGAGAGCTGGGGCTCATAAAGGGTTAAGGAGTTGCTGGAGTGGGCGAGATGGTCTTGGAGGTTTCCTTTGAGTCTCCAGGTTTCTGCCTCTTTGAATGAAGACGCTCCAGCAGTAGAAGCCAGCGCACAGCTCCCCCTTCCAGGGTCGAGGGCGGCCCAGCGAGCTGGGGGGCGGCAGGAGCTCCTGGGGGAAAAGGAAACCCGCTCGGTGTGTGTTGGCNGAATTCTGAATACGGGGTCTCCTGAATTCCAGGAATTTCAGTCCCGTGATGGATCCACGAAGCTTCTGACACAAGGAAATTTCATGCTGAGATATGTGCATGTCTTGTTTGGTACAGAAAGTCAAAAGGGGCCACTGATTTTCAGAGAGCAGGGGCTCATAAAGGGTTAAGGAATTGCTGGAGTGGGTGAGATGGTCTTGGAGGTTTCCTTTGAGTCTCCAGGTTTCTGCCTCTTTGAATGAAGACGCTCCAGCAGTAGAAGCCAGTGCACAGCTTCCCCTTCCAGGGCCGAGGGCGGCCCAGCGAGCTGGGGGGCGGCAGGAGCTCCTGGGGGAAAAGGAAACCGGCTCGGTGTGTGTTGGCAAGTTCTGTTTGGGGTGCTCTCAGAGGGAAACGTCTCTGACCAACTTCTGCATTCGTGGAGAGAACTGGGGCTCNGGCTCGGTGTGTGTTGGCAAGTTCTGCTTGGGGTGCTCTCAAAGGGAAACGTCTCTGACCAACTTCTGCATTCGTGGAGAGAACTGGGGCTCTATTTCTCACAGAAGCAGCAGCAGTGGCTGGGACACAAATTGCGGTTCCTGTGGAAAGACAGCGCAGGGCTCCAGCGACGTGCATGTGTCAGCGTCAGGTCCCTCAGCTCCACTCCCAGATTGCGGACAGCAGGTCTGCCCTGCTTATTGTTGCCTCTGCTCTCAGCATAATAGAAACTTACTAGATATCTTTGGAGTGAAAACATTAAATACGCAGACAGGTGGCTTTCTGGAAAGACTTTCCCTTGGCCAGGACAGACAGAGCTTTGTGACCTCACTTCTTGGAGAACTCACAAGCACCCCTGAGCTCCACACATGCTCTTATGGAGGCAAAGCGGCTCTTGTTTCTCTGCAGCATCCCCCACGCCAGGCGCTTGGGAGCCTGTTACTCCCTTGTCCGTTTCCCCCCTTCTGCTGAGCCCCCCTCAGCGCACGAGGAGTCAGTGGACAATGTACACCTGCCACGGCCTGGAAACTGCCCCTCCCTGGGTGAAGACCAGCTGCTGCTGTGCTGCATGCCTTGGATGCTGGTACCTGGAGGGAGGGGACTCAGGACACTTTTGGACCAGATCAGTGCTTCCCCTCCAAAGAAGAATCTTATCCTATAAAAATCTTTAAACAAGTGTATGTGTGCACGGATTATCATTGCAATGATGTTCGCAAGAGACTTTTTCCATCAATAGGGGACTAGTTGATGATTGTGGCCCATGAGAACACGGGTGCAGGTAAAGAGAACTGGGTGGTTTCATCATTGAGATGTTTTGCCAATTTAACAAATATTTATTAGTGTTTACTATGTGCCAGGTAATCTGATGCTGAGACCAGCGAGAGAGAGACCAAATAGACACATTTCTGATGCCTTAGAACTTGTAGTCTGACAGGCAGGAGTATTCGTCCCATCCATTCATTCTGTGAACATTTATTGGCATCCACTTTGTCAGGCACTGTGTTAGTCCCTAGGAGTAGAACTGAGGAAGCAGAGAAAATCTTCACTCTGCCCAAGCTTATGTTCCTTGTCAGAGGAGGATGCTATATTGCTAAGTTAAAAAAAAAGTTCTAGAATAGTATATATAGTTGATGCATATTTTTTCTTTATCTTAATAAGAATCTGGAAGAATATACCCAAATTAATATGGTCATCTCCTGGGGGCAAATGTCAAGAGATAGACTTTCACTTTTACATGCTTCTGTAAGTGTTTGATGATCTCCGTTGTCTTTTGTAATAAAAAGATAAGATTTAAGCATTATTGCAATGTTTTCCTGTCTGCCCTCCCCTTCACAGAAAGCAATGAAGACTGGGACAGGTTACCTTAAGGTCAAGGCCGGCAGTAGAGTGTGGCCGCAAGCTAGGATGGAACCCTGGTTTTCAGAGTAGGTCCATCCTTACATCGATTATTTGGAATGGGACAGATGGCAGAAAGGGGAATGAAAAGTTCCTACAAGTACCCTGGAGATGACAAGTGATAACTTCATTAAAAAGTGTAGTAAGATTAAATATGTTTTTTGTTTATAGAAGCACCTTAGNCTAAAATACTCACAGGCTATGAAAAGACGGATCCTGTTATCTTTTTTAGATGGAAACAGTAAGGTCTTACTGTGTTTTTATCTGTCTTACTTTTTCTAGGTTTGAAATTTCAGTAGCAGAAATTCCAAGTGGTTTCTGTTTTATTGCACTTTGCTGTATGGTGCTTTACCGGTGTGGAGTTTTGGGTTTGTTTTTCTTTTTACAAATTGAAGGCAGGGCCCTCCACTGACTCAGTGGCCTGGAACTGAACCCACAATATCTCCAAGATGTGCCTGCAATTGATTTTGGGATATCCCTGCATGCCTATTCCCATTTAAATTTAAATTTTATTATAACTTAAAGTTAAACTCAAGAAATTAAACTAAAACGCATTAATTTGTCTCCAGATTTCTATTGAGAAAGTGTGGATCTTTCTGGAGATAAGTAGAGATGCCCTAGAGTTTTAATTTAAAAATTTTTTTCATCAACCTTTTCTGGGACTCATGGGAAGTGGGGAAAGGGTTGGGCAGCTGGACTGTTAGGGTGAATGATTCTCAAGCTTAAGGAGGGCTCAGGTTTTGGCCGATTTTCACTGGGAACCTGTGTAGAGAGCAGTGTGAGTCAGAAATGTCAGTTCCAGGCTTCTGGATCCTCGGCATCTTTTCTCAGTTATAGTCACTGCAATTATAAAGGACATTCCAAGTTACTCATTTAGTACATGATTAATACTAAAATCACTCATAGTAGTGATTTTGTTTTTCTGAATTCTTATTCAAATTCCTTCTGCTTATGATGTGACTCTTTTCCCAGAGGAAGCAGTGAGATTTTATTTTATTTTAATATATCTTTATTGATTTCAGAGAGAGGAAGGGAGAGGGAGAGAGAGACAGAAACATCAGTGATGAGAGAGTCATTGATCAGTTGCCTCCCGCACACCGAGGATGGAGCCCACAACCCGGGCATATGCCCTGACCAGGAATCAAACCTTAATCTCCTGGATCATAGGTTGACGCTCAACTGCTGAGCTAGATTCTGAATGATGCAGAAAAGCATTTTTTGGTGATGTCTTTGGTTTTCTTTTTCCTGGAAATGCCAATCCTTGTCTTTACCACTTCCTTAACTTATGTCTGTAAAATTCCTAGCGACTGTCATAGAATAAGGACTGCCACACAGCAGGTGTTCAATACATATGAACTGGATGAAGTGATACATAGATTCTAACAGAAGACACCTAAATAAATATTCAGCGAACTGATGTACTTTCTACTTAGTGGAAAAACTGCTTTGTAGTGTAAGCACTTGTATGTGAATTCAAGCATTATTTCATAATCTTCCATCTTTCTGGAGACTTGGTGATGTCTGAATGTAGCCTTAGTCAATTCTAGTGGCTTTCTTTTCCCTTTACCTGGGATAAAGAAAAGGATGGTTGTCATTAGACTGCAAAAAATATGTCACATGAATGTAGAATTCCAATTTTTAAAAACACACAGAGTATTTTATTGATTTCAGAGAGAGGAAGGGAGAGGGAGAGAGAGATCGAAACATCAATGATGAAAGTCAATGATCAGCTGCCTCCTGCATGTCCCCTGCTGGGGATCAAGCCTACAACCTGGGCATGTGCCCTGACCTGGAATCAAACCTTGATCTCCTGGATCCTAGGCTGATGCTCAACCGCTGAGCCACATGGGCCAGGCAGAATTCCACTTTTGTAAGAACACAGTTTTGGGGCTTGTTTGTTTGTTTGTTTTTTTGGGTGTTTTTCATTAGTTAAAACATTTTACATACATTATATAAGCAGCACAGTGTTACTTTCTTGTAAAAATACTCACGTGATGCATACAAAGCCTTAAACTGCCCGGCCGGGCGTGACTCAGTGGTTGAGCATCAACCTAGAATTCAGGAGATCGAGGTTCGATTCCTGGTTAAGGCACATGCCCAGGTTTCGGGCTCAATCCCCAACAGGGGGTGTGCAGGAGGCAGCCAGTCAATGACTCTCATCATTGATGTTTCTCTCTCTCTCTCCCTCTCCCTTCCTCTCTCTGAAATCAATAAAGCCATAAAAAAATTTAAATAAGTACATAAATAAAAAGCCTTAAACTGAAAGATCCCTTTGTCTCATCTAACCTACCAGAGAGGACACTGAACAGTCTGCTGGCTATCCACAAAGGCCTTTCCCAATTACTTTTCCATACAGGGACATAGGCATATAAGTATGCTGTCATTTGGTCCCAGTGTTTT